CCCCCCCCCCCCCCAAAAAAAAAAAAAAAAAAAAAAAAAAAAAAAAAGCAAGCTGTTAGCAAATCCGGGGTCTGTCTTATCTTAGAGGATCTCTTTAAATCTGCATTTAGATTACTCTGTCAGGGCCTAACCAGGAGGGCTCACAGAACAAAAAGTAATCAGCTCCAAAGAGACACATTCCGGCTTCTACTCTCAGGGCCACAGGAAGTGCACGTCTGGCAGTTTTAGAACTGGAGTCAAGGAAATGCAAATTAAACAGGAAGATACCATTTGTCATCCACCAGTGCCATGAGGACTGATGGGACTAGGAACTGCTCTGTTTGTTCTTTTTGGAAAGTAATCTGGCAGTAACTCATAAAGAAGTTTTTAACTTTTTTTTAAATGTCAAACTTACAAAAGAGTTACCAGAATAATATGGTGAACTCTATAACCTTTCACCTAGCTTAACTAATTATTAACATTTTGCCTCATTTGCTTTATCTCTGTGGTACATGCCCATTTTTTTTCTGAACCATTTGAGAGTAAAATGCAGATATTATGACTCTTCACCCCTAAATCCTTCAGTATGTTGTTTCCCAAGAACAAGATGACCCTCTTACATAATGTTAAACTTACTACATTCAGGAAATTTATCATCAGTACAATAGTATTATCTAATATACAGTCCACATTTAAATTTTGCTAATTATCTCAATACTGCTTCTTATAGCAATTTTGTCTTGATTCAGGATCATCCACTGCATTTAGACATTATCTCCTAAAAGGCGAAATGAGCGTACTGTTAACACAGTATTCCCTATACCTACGGAAAGAAAAGTACTCGTGTTAGGGGCAGAGATGTTGATCATGCTCTATTGATCATGATTGTTAGCTACGAGTTATAAGAAATATTAATCATGTTCATGTGATAGGCAGTTAGACAGACATGAGCAGAGCAAGGGCAATGAGCCAGGTACAGGAGGTCACCAGGGCAGAAAGCCCCCACCCTCAGGATGCCCAGCAAAGGACAATTGTAGGGTGGAACCTCACCCCCTGGGTGGCCTTTCCTCCCCTAGCTGGTCATGTGGTTTGGACCCCCTGACCTTTCTTCCCCTAGAGATAACATCTAGGCCTCAGCTGTATCCCAGCTCCAGGCCCAGAAAAGCAGCAAAACCAGCCACAGCTGCATTGGATGATGACCCCCTGCCCTGGAGCCAGCCAATCAACCAGTGGAGGAGACCACAACCCTGAAAGGACGCACCTGGAAAACTGCTGAATATTATAATGAGATCTTCCCCTGGGACCTCCCCTAAAATCTCCTTCCTTAAAACCATTAGGATGGAGGACCCAGGGTTCTCTCTCCTGGGAGCAGCCTGTTCCATTAGCTTTCCCTTTCCCTTTCCCTTCTCCCTCCACCCCCACCAGGCATGTTACCATTAGCTTCCTCACGCCCAAGCTCCAAGGGCCCTTCCTTTGCCTCTATAACTTGTTTCCTAAGCCCATTTCTTCTAGGAATTACTTCTTCCACCTCTGTAATTTTACCAAATAAATGTTCTCTTACAGTTTGGGTCTTGGCTCTGAATTCTGTCCTAGCCAGAACCTAAGTTTTGAGGCTGCTAAACCCAGGTCCAGTGTGACCCCAAGGACCTAACACCCAGTGCAGTTCCCGCCATCTACAACATTCAGTTAACTGTGATTGTTCTGTTCTAATTAGAAAAAGCGCTTTCTAACCTGGCTGGGAGTTGTGCGCCCCGAGACATAGGAATTACCCTTGGAATGCAGTCCATTCCCTGTTTTGGAGAACTGCCTATCATGGAAAGATTAACAACCTTTTTCCTGAAACAATGAAATCCCAGAAGCACCCGTCCTTTGCAACCCCCAGCCCACATTGCCTGTAATCTGGTCCCAGAGGTGCCCACCCTGGAATCCCTGAGGCACCTGCCCTTGAAAGTCCTCTGTGACCTCCAGCCCACCTTGCCCATTTCCCCATGCCTGTAATTCCTACTTTCTCACGTAATCTTTGTTCTTCTACCCAATGTAAACAGCTGGCATATGGAGGGC